CTGCACACAGTAGGCACTCAATAGTTAATAGCTGAATGAGTGAAATAATCTGAATTTGGGAAACAATACTACCTATCTTGCATAGTTTCTGACTGATTCATGGATTCAACACATATTTAATGTGCCCCTACTATGTGACAAGCAAGTCACCAGGGGCTAGGGACACCAGGAGCTAGCTCACTGTTCTGATGAAATTCTGTGGTTCACTCAGTGATGATAAGAAAGGAAACAGAAGCCCCCATCCCACCCCTCCCTACCCCCCAACACAGGTCTGAAAAGCTGACTTTTCAAAAACCAGAGGTATGCCTGCCAAGTCCACCCAGCCACATCTGGAGGTGTATTTAATTATCCCTGAGCGTAGCTGTTTTTACATCCACAGCTCTGTCACTTGTGCGCCGGCCTCTCACTAGACAAGTGGATGACTCTCGACAGGGACCATGTGGCAGGAAGGCTGCTGGGGTCCTACACATCTGGCCCCTTCGCAGGGGTTTGTCCCCAACAGCTATCTTCTTCAGCTCCCTCCCAGGCTCCTAGCAGAAGCCCAGGCTTTCAAGCTATAAATGTAATCCTGGCTAGGGTGCTGAGGGCCCGGAGGGAGGCCCACAGGATGCGCCTGGAGGTTTAACCACTTAATTCCCAAAGTACCTGCCAAGAACCAGTTAGCATGTCTGGCTAGTGAGCCAGGCTGTCATTAATTCATTAAAGCAGGCTCCTGCTGGCCCATTATATCCATGCCACTGACCACATCACCTCTTGGGCCTGCAGAGTCCTCCTTTCTCCCCTTCTGCGAGGTCCCAAGGCAGGAGTCTGCCTACCCTGGCCCTGTCTCCCAGCCAGATTCCTAGGCTCCTTGCTCTGTCCCTCCCCGCCCCCTCCAAAGCCACTCTTCTCCCTCCCACACCTCCCCCAGCCAGCACTCACCATAAAGCATCTTTTGTTCCCTCTCTCCTGTGTCTCTGAGCAGTGACTGGTTAAATCGTACCCATCCTCCTCCAGGCCTCCCCAGCCTCCCAAGGAACCTCCCCCAGGGAATCTCACTAGTGCAAGAATTCACTGCTCACCACCCCTCTGCTTGCTGCCTGGTGTATCTTCTCTTCTCCTGCATTCCCCACAGTATTGGCATGAAGCAGGCCCTCAAAAGCAGACACTGCAATTCTGACTTTGCTCCTGATCCTTCGGGATGACTCAAGTGGACTCTTTCTGCCTCAGTTTCCCCTTTGAAATAATAAGAATGGGAACCAACCATATAATATATAGGTCCCTGGGTGGCCCAAATAATTTGTGCTCAACTACAAACTGAAAGCTTGGCTGCTGGATCCCACCCAGCAGTGCTGCGGAAGAAAGGCCTGGCGATCTGCTTCTGTAAAGATTACAGCCAAGAAAACCCTATGGAGCAGTTCTATTCTGTAACACACCGGGTCACCGTGAGTCGGAATCATCTCTACGGTAACAGGTTTGGTTTGTTGTTTTGGTAACCATATCATAACATCCTCTTGGGTGTGAACTAAGTGCCCGGCATTGGACTGGGCTTTTTAACAGATGATCTCCTATTATTTTCGTAACAACCCTGGAAGAAATTGTTATTGTTGTTAGGTGCCATCAAGTCGATTCCAAGTCACAGCAACCCTACAGGACAGAGTAGAACTGCCCATAGGGTTTCCTAGGCTGAAATCTTTATGGGAGCAGATCGCCACATCTTTCTCCCACAGAGCGGCTGGTGGATTCCAACCTCTGACCTTTTAGATAGCAGCCGAGCACTTAGCGACTGCACCACCAGGGCTCCTTCTGGAGGTAGTAGCTCCATTTTACAGATAAAGGACAGGCTCAGAAAGGTACGGCTGCTTACTTGAAGTCACACTGCCAGCAGGTAGCTGGGCTGGGACTTAAATCCAGTTCCATCTGATCCCTAAACTCATTCTCTTAATCATTATGGTATCCTGGCCCTTCTGGCACTGACTTCCCACCAGGACAAGTAAGAATGGTGTGGAATCGCTAGCAATAACAATGGTAAAATGTTGGCTACTTTGAGAAAGAATGATACTAAGTACACTATAATAAGACATTCATGTCCACTTCTTATGCACCAGGCACTGTTCTAGAGCTTTCTGTATATGAATTCATTCAGTCCTCTCAACAACCCTGTGGGTTAAGTACATGTCTTCTGAGAAAAGAATGGCTGGCTCACAGTAGGGATTCAGAACAAGTTTGCTGAAACTACTGATCCTGCATATAGGTAAGCTCACCCTTAACACCTAACAGAAGAATTAAGTGGTGGCTTCTGCCCTCTGTGGCTGGCACAGGCCTCCCTGAAACACATATGGTACTGATGAGCATTCCCATTGCTCGGACAGGGTAGGGAAAGGTGGAGAACACCCTTCATCCAGCACGGAACTCAACATACTGTCTTTTCTCCAGTGGATCTTCTTTCACTTCTTCCTCATTTACTGGAGGCTGGAAGAAGATGAGTTTCCACAGATTAAACCAAAAACGCCAGAAAAAAAAAGCTCAAAGCTGCAGGTACTGGGATCAGGATGTCTGCAGCAGGGAGCGGGGTGCGGTCCGGGGGAGGACCGCGAGCCTGGGAGGGAAGCGCAGGAGGGGGGGGTGATACGATTCCGTCGACACCCTGAGCGCGTGAGGCGGCGCTGGAGGACAGCCACGGGGCATTCTGGGGTCAAGGCCCCCGGGGCGGGGGAACCCTGGAAGATAGGGCTGCTGGGGACAGCCTGGCAGGATAGTGCAGGAGGCAGGAGAACCTAGAGGCGTGGTGAGAGGGTGGCCCGAGGTCAGGACGCAGCAGAGAACTAACTGGGGCCGAAACATAGCGAGGAAGGGGAAAGAAATTCTATGACGCCTTCCCTCCAGCACAACGCCGCCCCAGGGAAACTCCTCTCCGCCCCTCACCCCTGCCCGAAGGGCCCCAGTCTCCCAGCTGTTCCCCCGCGTCCAGGCGCAAAGGGGCGCACTCTGTTCGCCAGGGGCGGCCTCCTGACAGCCTAGGGCCACCTACAGGCCCGCAGCCTCCCCTTCGAGGTCTCGGAGCACCCCGACCCTGAACACGCACACACGCCTTCAGACACACGTAGTACCCTGGGTGGGGCGCCCGGCATCCCGCACCGCCTGGTCCCAGGAAAGGGAGCGCTTTGCCAAACTCGCCTGGATAAGAAGACCAGAGGAAACCGTGTCCAGCCCCCTCCCCTATTTCTGAGACTTCTCTCCCTTCCCATCTTCCCTTCTAAATTCACTTTCCCACTGTCTTGCAACTTGTTCTCCAGACAATTTCTCTTTTGTTTTAGCTCTCCCGCCCTTCCTTTCCCTCCCCATCTCGAGGCCGGTGTTTCTTTCCCTCTTCTCCCTCCTCCTTTCTCCTTTTCCCCAAACTCCTCCCTTTGCTCTTTCGCTCAAATCCCTTTTCCCATTCCGGCGCTGTGCCCCAACCGTTGTTCTCAGCCCCGGGATTCGGCAGCCCCAGCCCTGGGTTCTTCTGGCCGCCGGAGGCCGGGGCCGCTCTTCCGCGTTGCGGAGAAGCAACGGAGGGGACCTCCAGCGCCCGGCATCCGGGCGCCGCCTGCGTGCCGGGCAGAGAGCGCCCTGCAGCGCGCACCTCTTGTCGCCAGCGCCAGAGCTGCGCCAGCCCACGCGGCATCTGTCGCCCGCGCTCCCGGCTTGCACCCCCGCAGCTCCCCGGGCGCTGCCACCCCCCACGCTCCGGCTGCCGCCTCTCCCCGAGGGCGCAGACGCTCGGGCCTCGCCTGCGGGCGCCGCGCCAACTTCCCAAGTTGTCGGTGCACGGCGGGGCTCGGCCTGGATCCGAGCGCGGGGCACCCGTAGGCGGTGGATTCATCCTGGTGCCTCTTTCTCATCTTCGACCTTCACCTTCCGGCCCTAGACCGATCTTTAATTGGTTCCGCCTGATTCTCTCCACCCTCGTTCTCTGCGGCGCTCCCCTCATCTCCAAAACCTATAAGGAGCTCTTCACCCACTTTTGTTCCCCCAAGGCTCCTAGGGCATTGCATGGCGCACAGTTGGTGCTGAATAACTGCCTCACTCCCAAAGCCTAGCGCACAGTAGGTGCTCAGTATCGTCCTCCCGAGGTATCAAACACTCTAGGCGCTCAATATGCACCCCGCACCTCCACTCCCTTACAGTGCCTAGCTAACCACGCCTGCTCTCAAAACATCCCCTCCCTAAACCGGGCCCAGCACCCAGAAGGAGCTCAGTAAATGCTCAGATTAAGGCGTCTCTCAGGCGTTTCCCTTAGAGCATCCGATCCCATCCTTCTTCGGGGACATCTCCTCCATCGCAGCTCCAACCGCCAGGTCTGGAGAAGATGAAGCGACACTCCTTAAACGGGACACCTCACTGGAGAAGGCGCTAAGAAGTTGACAGAGTGAAGGGAAACTGCAAAGTCCGCGGGCCTTGGGGAGGAAGAGAGAGCTAGCCAGAAACCCAGAGGCGAGGAAGCTGAGAAGCAGGCTGAAAGCAGAGGTGATGGAGATGGTGGCGACTTAGGGGCGGAGAACTGCTTCTAAGAGGACCTGGAATTGTCCTGAAACCGCGACAGATTATAATTATTTGCAGAGGCTTGAAACTACCTTCTAACAGCAAGCACACTTTTTACTTGCATTGTGTGTTTACCTGAAGGGCTGGTGGGGACTATGGGGGCTAACGTTCGCGCCACCCCGCGCCCTGCAAGCCACCGCACCTGAGGGCGTGGCAAGATGTGCTTAAGGAGTAGGAGAGAAATGGACAGAAACTGTAGCCCTGACACTTGGAAGGAGTGAAGGGGACGTAGTCAAACGGAATGGAGGTCCCAGCGAGAGAAGAAAGAAGAGGAAGAAAGAGAAGGGAAGAGAAGAAAGCTAAACTTGTCGCTCTCCCGCTCCCGGGCGAGCCCGGAGTCTCCAATCCTCAGCTGCCGCGCCCTGGCGCTCGCTCGCGTACCTGTTGCTCGCTCCGGCTGGGTCTCGGCTCCGGCCCCACCAAGAAGCCCTGCGTTCCTACAAGTTCCGCCTGCGGAGCAGCCAGGCCGCCAGCGCCGCCACCTGAGCCGCCGCGCACAGCCAGGGCCAGTAGGTGGGGAGCGCGCCGGGCGCTGGCGCCCTCCGGCTCCGCGCGCGGCGCCGCCACATGGTACGCTGGTGCAGCTCGTCGCCGAGCGCCTTGAGCCGGGCGGCGGTGAGCTGAGCGGCGGACGAGCGCAGACCCAGGCGACCCGCGCTGCAGGCGCACACGGCAGGGGGGCCGCGACCGCGGTGCAGGGGGCAAGGGCACATGACCGCTCGCCTGGCTCCCTCCCCGCGCTCGGGTCGCCCCTCGCCTCCTCTCCCTCCGGCCTGGGCGCCCGCCGCCACCGCCGCCGCGCTCCAGCCGCCGGGGGGCCTCCCCTGGACACCAAGTTTCTCCTTGTGTTGTGCGTTTGTTGTGCTGACGGCGCTATTATTAATTAAAGTGTCACATGGTGGAGGGGGGCGGGGAGGGCGCGAGGAGGGGGGTTACATCATCCGGCCCCCGGGGGGGGGCTGCAGGCAGAAGAAACCGAGAGGTAACTTTTAACCCTAGCGACGCCGGCAGCGAGGGGGCGCGCCGTAGGGGAGAGGAGGAGCGCGGCGCGCGGGGACGCGAGAAGGCGTCCCGCCGCGGAGGTCCTGGGCTTTGGGGGCCACGGGAGGCCCCCGCGGAGGCGAGGAGCGCGAGGAAAGATTTTCTCCTACCTCTTTTCCTGAATTCAGCTCCGGTTCCGATTTGGCGAGAGAAGGAAGCTTGTTTGCCATTTTGGATGAAGCTGATACCAAATTCTGCTGCTTTATTCAAAAATATTCTGAGGTTGTTGTTTGGCTTTGGGGAGGTGGGTTGATTCAAAACCTCATGCGAGGGCCAGATTCAACCCAACTTGCCCATTTCAGGGCTGACTTGGCACCTGTAGGGTTCGCGTTTGAGCACATCAGGCACACTCCTCCACCTCGCCTCTGGGATTCGCGGCCTGACCCTAACGCACCTGCAGCAAGGGGACAGTGGAAACCCTGATGGTGGAGGGGTGGTTTGGGGAGGTCTGTCCTTAAACTGGCAGGGCACGGACACACGCATTCGCGGCGTGGAGCACCCGCACCCAAAAGAACCTCACAAGGGCCTTTCTAGAAGGAAACTCTTCTTTTTGTCTGCTTTCTTTTGTGAATATTGTTTACCCGAGCAGGATTACAGTTTCTAGCGGCAATCCCCAGCAAATGCGCAGTGGCGACCCTAATTGGCCAGCGCGGGTGGGGGTATTTTGGCTCCCCCTCTTTGCAATCTGACAGCCGCCCTTGTGCCCCTCCAGTTGAGAAATTCTGCAGTTGTCACCACTAGTGAAGGTACAGATGGGCAAGGGCGACTCACAGGATTCTTTGGGAGAGAATGAGCTCTTCTAATCTTAAATCCATTGTGGGGGATCTTCCCCCTCCTCCACAACACATCAGCATATCTGCACACCTCTATTTCCTTGTAGGCCGCTATATTTATCCAAGATTAAAGGGCAGGTTTAAGTCTCTAAAAAGAAGCCATCACAGGCCCCCACCCTCATCATGGCCCGCACGTTCCCTTGGGAGAAAAACTGCTAAAGGCTGAGGACTGAGAGTTGTTTTTAGGACAACTTTGGGAACCAGAAAATGGAGACACCCAACACTGGCTCCAAGCTGCCAATGCTCCTGAGTCTTTCCATTCTCTTCTTCCCACGGGAAGGCCTGATGATTCCTTTAGTCCCTGGGAAAAGGTTCTTTGAAGTCTGTGAATTTAGCATTGATCTGGATTTATCCTGAGGAGCTATTTCCCCTTGGCTTCTGCACATGGTGAAATGAAAAGATCAAGGCTCAGATTCTCAGCTCTGCTGTGTGGTCTTCGTGGCCCTTACCCTCAATGAGCCCGTTTTCCTACCTTTAATAATGCCCAGCACTTACTCATCCTGCTGTGTCAGTCACTGGGTGAATATCCTAGCCCATGCTGTCTCATGCAAATCTCCCGACAATCCTGTGGGGAAGATGTTGTTATACTTCTATTTTACAGATGAGAAAACTGAGGCACAGGAGGGAAAGTCTCTTGCCCAAGCTCATGGAGTTAGTAAAGAACACAGCCTGCATCTAAACTCAGGCAGTCTGTCAGCTGCAGGCTCCAAAGTTTTAACCATGGTTTTATACTGCCCCCTGTAATCTGTGAGTATAATACCTCCCTCCCAGGATTGGGGCAAAGATTAAATGAGAGAAATGTATGCCAGGCACCTGGCATGCAGTGGGGCCTGGATAAACCTCGGTTCCCTTCGCTTCTGGCCAGAGCCACTTTCCTGTTCTCTTGGGACTCACCTCCTTAATCCCTCCTAGTCTTTGCAAAGGGGCCCTGATCCACTGCCCAAGTGCAGCGTTCCAAGAATGAAGATACAGTGTCTATTTAAAAAGCCCTTTGGATTTAAATTGAACAATTCCCTCTCTCCCCCTGCCCCTTTTTAATCTGCACGCTTTTAACGGCTCACTTCATGGACATTAATTTTAATGGGACGATTATTACCCTGTTTGGAAGCCTGCCCCTCGAAATGCTGGGCTCACAAGGTGGCTGGGTCCAGTCCCAGCCGCTTGGATGTTTTCTGTAGCTGAGAGTGCAGTCTTGGCCATGGGGACACATGATTCAGCCGAGGGAGAGGAGAAGTTGTTGATGAAAAAGTGGGAAAGAGGGGAGACCACTCTCTCCCCGCTGTTCTAAATCTGACAGCCCCTGATTTGGGCACACTGGAGTTATCCTGTCCTATCCCACCAGTCACTAACTGGAGAACTTGGCCTTGGGCCCTGGCTTTTTGAGCCTCTGTTTCTTCACCTGCAAAGTGAAAATAATAACAGTACCTACCTCACATGGTTGTTGGCAGGGTTAAGTAAGATAATGCTGGTAAAGCTCTTAGCGCAGTGCCTGGCACTGGCTACTGCTGATGTTTTAAAATAGATCATGTAATCGCTAAATGATGTGCTTCGAAGAATGTTGGCGATTCATGCCCTCAAATATAGTTGCCCTACTGTGAATTTACTGATGTTAAGCAATGTCCAGGAGTCCCTGGGTGGCGTAAACAGTTAATGCATTCAACTGCTAACTGAAGATTTGGAGGTTCAAGTCCACCCAGAGGAGCCTCGGAATAAAGGCCTGGTGATCAACTTCTGAAAAATCACCCATAGAAAACCCTACAGAGCATAGTTGTACTCTGACACCCATGGGTTCACCATGTGTAGCAACAGACTCAATGGCAACTTTTTTTTTTAAAGCAGTTTCCAGAAAAAGCAAATTCTCAGGGAGAGTAACATGAGTCCTAGTGGTACAGTGGTTAAATGCTAGGCTACTAACCAGAAGCCTGGTGGTTCAAACCCACCAGCTGCTTCACTTGAGAAAGATGTGGCAATCTGCTTTTGTACAGATTTACAGCCTTGGCAACCCTGTGGGGCAGTTCTACTCTGTCCTATAGGGTGACTATGAGTTGGAATTGACTTGACAGTAATGGGTTAACACTTTAGTATAAGTGAATTTTTAATTTTAATGTTTAGGTTAATAGACACGTTGTTGTTGTTGTTAGGTGCCATGTAGTCGGCTCCGACTAACAGCAACCCTCTGTGTAACCACTGTACCACTAGGACTCATGTTACTCTCCCTGAGAATTTGCTTTTTCTGGCAACTGCTTAAAAAAAAAAAAAAAAGTTGCCACTGAAACTATTGCTACTGCCTGGTCCTGCGCCATCCTCACAATCATTGCTATTTTTGAGCCCCTTGTTGCAGCCATTGTGTCATTGCATCTCACTGAGGGTCTTTCTCTTTTTCTCTGGCCCTCTATTTTACCAAGCATTCGTCATCATATAGCCCAGCTTCTCAGAGTATTGACTCAGCATACAGATTGAATAAGTATGGTGCAAGGATAGAACCATGGTGCACATCTTTTCCAATTTTAAGTCACACAGTATCCCCTTGTTCTGTTCAAACGACTGCCTCTTGGAATAAACACTTATAGAGTGCTAATTCTGTGCTAGGGACTGTTCTAAGTGCCTTAGACATATCAACTTCTTTAATCTTCTAACAAACCTATGAGACAGGTACTTTATGAGTCCTGTAATAGGGATGAATAAACTGACGCAGAGCTTGTAAGTAGCTTATCCAAGATCATACAGAGTTTGTGCTCTTTAGCATTATGTTGCCACTGGGGACTTGGGAAGAAGGATGGAGGGCAATGAAAAACGTCATAAAAGGGAAACTAGAAGCAGAGACTTCACTAGACCATGACTGCCTTTACTGGTGAGCATGTACTTGGACATTTTTCTGAGTTCTTGAGAAGTGGTGAGTTCTAGGACTATTCAGCTGTTCCCCTTCTTCCTCTTGTGTGTCTTGTTGGAGACCTTGAAGGGAGTAGGATTTTTAGGGGATTATTTATTTATTTGGAAACGGGGTTATATCCTTTCACTGTACTTATTCAGTCTGTACGCTGAGCAAATAATCTGACTAAATGAGGAAGAACATGGCATCAAGATTTGGAGGAAGACTCATTAACAACCTGTGATAAGCGGTGACACAACCTTGCTTGCTGAAAGTGAAGAGGACTTGAAGCACTTACTGAAGAAGGTCAAAGACTACAGCCTTCAGTATGGATTACACCTCAACATAAAGAAGACAAAAATCCTCACAAGTGGACCAAAAAGCAACATCATGATAAATGGAGAAAATACTGAAGCTGTCAAGGATTTCATTTCACTTAGATCAACAGTCAACACTCATGGAAGCAGCAGTGAAGAAATCAAAGGACTCGTTGCATTGGGCAAATGTGCTGCAAAAGACCTCTTCAAAGTGTTAGAAAGCGAAGATGTCACCTTGAAGACCGAGTTGTGCCTTACGCAAGCCATGATCTTTGCAGTCACCTCGTTGTGCATGCGAAAGCTGGACAATAAATATGGAAGACCGAAGAAGAATTGATGCCTTTGAATTATGGTGTTGGCAAAGAATATTGAATATACCATGGAGTACCAGAAGAACGAACAAATCTGTTTTGGAGGAAGAACAGCCAGAGTGCCCCTTGGAAGCCAGGGTGGTGATACTTCATCTTATGTACTTTGGCTATGTTACTAAGAGAGACTCGTTCCTGGAGAAGGACATTATGCTTGGTACAGTAGAGGGTCGGTGAAAAAGAGGAAGACCCTCAGTAAGATGGGCTGACACAGTGGCTGCACAATGGGCTCAAACATAGCAATGATTGTGAGGATGGCGCAGGACCAAGCAGGGTTTTGTTCTG